AATAGTTAAACTTAAACAGTTAGGAGGTGCAAAGTATATCAATAATTTGAAATACTATAACTGAGCAGCAGGCAAGGCCCACTATTCAGTTGCATGTTAATTAATGCTAGGGCAAAAAAAAGGGCAGTTTTTAAATCCAAGCCCTTGACAGTAAATAACTCTCTTAAGGTATATAACTCTCGCCTCTGTCAGTGCGCCCCAGGGTGGCTGTGGCTACACACAGTGTGTGAATGTGTGTGTGAATGGGTGGATGACTGGATATGTAAAGCGCTTTGGGATTCCTAGGGACTAGTAAAGCGCTATATAAATACAGGCCACTCATCATTTACCATTCAAGGTAAAGACAGAATGTAGTCCTGGGCTTTTTTTGGGTCGATGAACTCACGTCTGCTCTCTGTCATTTTCAGCACAAGTACCGCCGGGAACAGTAGGGAGAACTTGATCTTCCTTTTGTGTAGCAGCGGTTTATAGGGATTAAATGCCACTCGTTTTTCCATGATGAGTTTGGAGTAGTCAGGGAAGACCATGATGCGGTGTATAAAATACTTTGAGTGCTCAGGTAGGGTAGAAAAGTGTTATATATGAACTTGAACAGTCCATCTGATGTGCTGAAAAGTGTGTTTTAACTCCTCAGCCCATTGAACAATGTTAGGCATACTCATAAGTAATGCCACAATAATATCATTCACATACTGAGACATCTGCATATTAACTCCAGCTGAATAAACTGCGGCTCCAAAATCACATTTTCAAATGGACTCAGTCCGCTTGGAACCCAGCAGGTACTAAATAGGTACCTGGTACCAGGTACTACTACCTAATCGAAAACCCTAAAAACTCAGTCAAGTCAAGTTGAGTCGGTATAAGTGGAAAAGGGTTGTTAGATGTTTGTTTAAATCTTTACATGTTCCTCAGTTTTGGTTTGATTTAAAGCACAAAACTTGAGATACAAGTTTAACAGGTTGCACTCCTTTCATAAGTAAGGATCCACTGAGGAGACAATAGTGAGAATGTTAAACATTTAAAACACAGAGGACATCAGCATTATCTTTTCTTAACTGCTATAAATCTAATTTGATGGATATAGCTTGTGGAGTACCTCAAGGTTCAGTACTGGGTCCAAAAATGTTTATTATGTACTTAAATGATATCTGCAGAGTATTGGAGATTTTAAAGTTTGTAATATTTGCAGATGACACAAATATACTGTGTTCAGGTGTGGAGTTGCCACAGGTTTTGGGGATGATCACACAGGAATTAACGATATTAAAGAAGTGGTTTGATATAAATAAATTATCATTGAATCTAGATAAAACCAAATTTATGTTGTTTGGAAACCAAAAGAAAAACATCAAAGTAGAAATATGTGTTGACAATGTATATTTAGAAAGAGTAAATGAAATAAAATTTCTTGGGGTGATCATTGACCACAAGCTCTGTTGGAAGCCACACATTACTTTTGTTCGGGGGAAATTGGCACGGGGCATTGCCGTCCTGGGGAAAGCAAAGCATATGTTGGATCAGAAAGCACTGCACATTTTATACTGTGCTTTACTACTGCCATATATGACCTACTGTGAGGTCTGAGGAAACACATACAAAAGTAACACACAAACCATAACTATAATACAGAAAAGGGCCATTAGATTAATAAATAATGTGGGGTACAGGGACCATACAAATGCACTCTTTGTCAAAATGCATGCTATTAAATTCCAAGACTTGGTGAAGCTTAAAACAGCGCAAATAATGTATAAAGTAAGAAATAAATTGCTTCTCAAAGAAATCTGTAAATTGTTCATAGAAAGTGAAGGTGGGTATAACTTAAGAGGGAAATGGAATTTAAAAATACAAAGTGCTAGAACAACTTTAAGAACTATGTCTATCTCAATTGCAGGAGTTAAATTATGGAACAGTCTAACAGAAGAAATAAAAGACAGTAAAAACATAAAACAGTTTAAAGTAAAATATAAAAACCTAATTTTAAATAAGTATAAGAATGAAGAAAACGGGGTTAACCCAGGACGGTAATGTTGCTGGTAATGGTGTTGCGGTTCTTTTTTGGTTTTTTTGTTTTGTTTTGTTTGTTTTTCCATAACTTGTGTATCTGAAAATATACACATTCTGTATTTTTCATATGAAAGAAACTGTGGTGGGGCTTGCTAATTTCTTGTTTTTGATTTATGTATGTTTTGTTTTGTTTTACTTCATATGTTTCATGTTGTTTGTTTAATTTAAGACAAAAAAAATTGAATGAATGAGTGGTAAAATTTGAGGGGGTAGGGACAAATAAGTAAATACTTCAGCCTACTCCTTTTCAAACAAATAATGGAATGATATTTTGTAATGATTGTGAAGGCACATGTTTGAAATGTTTGAAATAAAAATGAACTGAACTGAACTGCTGCCATGTTAGGGTTTTTTATTTTTATTGTCTTCCTTCCTTTTAATTTGAAAAATATTAATTTTGAAAAGAGGAAGTGTGATCTTCTCTTCTCTTTATTTTTCCGTCTCACAGAGTGTGATGGGTGATGATAATAGCTGTGTCTCAGTTCAGGGGCTGCAGCCTTCGGAGGACCCAGCCTTCGCGTTCTATGTGGGCCGGGTCCTCCGAAGAGATTTGCATCACCGCTGTCTCGGTGGAGTTTAATAAGCACAGCCGTCTGCTCCTTGCTATCTAAAATATAACAGGATTTTGGAGTAAATCCTCCACCATCTCACACTTCTGTTTAGTCAGTTATCTGTTTTACATTTATTCAGTTGTGTGAAAACTATAACTTTAATTTACTCTGAAAACACTGAAAAAAGCCAAACAATCAAATTTTGTAAGTTATTTAAATGACTTATATATCATGTTTAACCTGAGTAGCGAAAAATTTAATTAGTAAAGTATTGAAAAGGGTAATAAGAGTAATATTACAACTAAGTAGCTGTTGCCATTGTTGGAAACTGGAATTGGCTGGGCCAAGCTATGAATTCTATGATAGGTTGGGCCATGAAGGATACACCCGACCCATCCTTCAAATCTGGGGAAATGAATTACGCATTTGTCGGCAGTATTTGGAGCAGGCTTCGAATTGGGATAGCCTTCGTTGCCTGGCTGTGACGTAATCAGTACAGAATCTTTGAAACAAGCTAGCTTAAAACATTTTAAAATATAAACAGAGCACTCTGCTTCTCTTTACAGCTCCTCACTCCACCAGGGCTGTTTGGGACTTTCTGATAGTGCGCAAATGTGGAGCACGTACTGCGGCAGTCATACAGACAACTGGACGGTCCAAAAGTTGGCCAACCTATTACTGACTGAGTTGTGGCTGAACCACATAAAAATATTACATTTATTTTAATCACCCCAATCCATTATAATGTTATGTTGGAATGTTGTTAAAGAGGGTCAAAAATGTTTCAACCCGGTTTGTTTTGCAGATTCTGTACAGCAGCTTTAATATAGGGAGGACACAACTTCCAGATTGTTTGAGTAAAATCAGGTTTTTTCTCTTTGTCAGTTTAACAGTTTCTGTTTTGCCTGTCACTATTCCCTGTCTGTTTTCTTACCTGGTT